ATATATATATGTCTTAAACTTAGCCACCAAGTCTACTAGGGTGAGTCTGGCATTGGGGTATTTGCTTCAGCAAATAAGAGTTTAGAACATGGTTTCTTTAATACCATGAGGTTAGCAGGACTCACTTCAAGGTTGGATTAATTCTACTTTGCCGCCTTGGTAGGGTCATTTGAATAAAGTGGGTTCTTGGCCAAGAAATGTCCTTTATTTAGTTGAGTGCTGCAGAGATGTCCGATCCTTATCAAACTGACATTTCTCCTCGTGTACGGTGTTCTTCTCTGTCCGCAGCCTCTAATTCTTCAAGTGAACTTCAAGTGTGGACGTTGCTCCTCATCATAACCCAGATTTCACTATGGCATTTTGTCTATAAATCAGGTGTGACCTCATAATTTACTCAAGGTTGCTCTATAAAGTACTGTAATTTACTTACTTCAACTCCCTGTAGCATAAAGTGTGTGTCCCTAAATCCAAAACTATTTGCAAATGTCCAGCATCTCAAGGCCATGTCACCTTCCTCCAGCAGCCAGAGGTCTGGAGGTAAGTGACATCCTCCTAGGTTCCTCTTTCAAACTACACGGTGGGGCTTCCAAACGCCTGTTGTGGCAGGCATGTATATACATACCTAAGAGTCTCACACAGTTGCCACTAAGAACCTTGGTTCACACAAAAAGCCAGAAAAAGAAAGATCGTGGTTATAGAAGTCTGACCTAACACCTGACCAGAGAAATCGGTCAAGCCACTGCTGTTTCTAGACCCCAGGTGTTATGGCAGAGGGCCTGTGGAATGATCTGGAAGTAATGACTGGAAGGTCCGACTCTCTTCCCGATGTCTGGAAGTGTCGGATCCCTGACATGGATGTGTTGCTCTCTTCTGCCATGAGCAGCCCCTCCTCACCCCTGTGGCCCTCCACATTGCCATGCTGGTGGAGGCCACCTAGGGAAGCTTGCCCCACTCAGTTCTTTCTCTTTTTACAAACCAACCAAATAATTTTTTAACATGTTTTATCCTCAAATAAACTTTGTGTTCAAGTATTCTCATTATTTGGTGGCTGGAATCATTCTTATTGATGTTAAGCTTTGACAGTAAATACCAGACTATGATTAAAAACAGAAAAGAACCAGCAGCAGCCACAGGACCAGGCAGGTGCTGTGGCCATAGCTTTAATGTGCTGTGTTATATTCCTGTCATGTGTGCTTATAAGGCATTAGGGCAGCAGCAAGGTGCTTTGCAGTACACAAGCAGGCACTGTCCTCCTTTGTAAGCAGCACATAAACACACACTTAACTGTAATTACCTACAAAATAGAGGGCCTGCTAAATGTACCCCTGGAGTGCCTCACTTTTTAAGGTTAAACACAAATCAATACCCACTTCAAGTTTATTTTGAAGTTGTATTGGATTAAAATTAATAGCTTTTTAAGAATTTTGCGCAGCACTCTGAAAAGTTGAGCAAAGGTGCTTGGCATCCTCTATGGGTGTGGTGCAATGGCTGTTGTCTTACAGGTCAAAGGCACTTGGGACATATTGTCACTGGGCTGAATCAGGGTGTAGACAAAGTCCATCTTGAGCTGCTTTGTTCCCCCAGCCCTCACCTCCCTGGAAGCACCAGCAAATTCCAGCTGGTCTCAGCAGTCACACATGCAAAGTGGCTAAGAGGACAACTGGTATTAATGGAGAAAAATAGGTGTTTGCTTGTGCTTGGCATCTTAAGATCTTTTGGGAAAATGCTAAAAGTTGAGACATCTGAAGGAGCCCAACCATCGATTCAACCTGAGTCACAATATTTCACCCTTACTGTGATAGAAATTGATATTATGAGCATATTCTTTGTTTACATGGAAACAAAACTTGACTGTCCCAAACTTCAAGTTCAGAAGAGTCAGATGAGCTATTGTACTATTTCTATTCACAGCACAGAAGTTAAGGTTTGCAAAATCAGATAGAGTATAGGTTGAACACACTAATACTACATTTGTTGTTTTACTTGAATCCCTTAGATGAATTTTAAGTAAAAAAATAAAAGGGAGAAGTGAAGTATAACATACTTGCTAACTTCTTTTTATTGATTCTTATATTAAAATCTTAAATCACTAAACTATAGGGGTTTTTTTAGCCTTTTTTGGGGGGGGTGCTGGGAATTGAACTCAGGTCCTTGTGCTTGCAAGGTAGGTGGCAGAACCACTGAGCTAAATCCTCAGCCCTTTTAGCTTTTTAGTTAGGTCTTTTCTTGCTACATTTATGTTCTTGGTATCTGGTTTTCTTGCATCTTTCATTTGTCTGTCATTTTAATAAGCCACATTACGGTCCCCTAACAAGAGACCTCTGGATTTCCGTGGCCTGCACAACAGTTTGTTTCTTGCTTGTGTGAATAGTCTCCATCTTGGAGAGGAGATTGATGGCAGCTTCATTATCTTTTGATGTTGCCAACTCAACATGTGGCTTCAAACTTCCTCTCAGCAAGGGATGTGGACAAAGAGAATCATACCCTAACTCTTTCATGTCTTTGCCCAGAAAGGATGCTTATTCGAGCTATGCCCATTCTGTTGGCCAATACAAATCATATGGTTGTAACCGACTGTCAGAGACCCGGAAATGGAAACTTCCTGTATGTCTCAAAAGAGGAACTGGAAATTAGTGGTGATGACTATTGTGTTGTCTTTAGATCAATCACCTCCATCTGGTTTGAGGAATGCTTCCAACAGAGGTACAATAGAATACCCTTTTAAACTTTCTGGATTGCAGGAGAACTGGGAGGTGATCTTCGCTCTCCTATTTATTCTCTGCTCAAAACATGGGCCATTCAGAGCCTCAGTACCTTATTTCCCTGTCTATATCATGAGAACATTAAGCTTTTTTTCAAATATTCCTGTTATAAAATGACACTAAAGGAACATAAGACATGTGACAGTATATGCTAAGATAATTCCCGTACATTATCTGTTTCTTATACTCAGAACGACTTGCCACAATGAAGAGAAAGAAAGGAAAAAAGGAAGGAAGGAAGGAAGGAAGAAAAGAAGCAAGCAAGCACATTCTCAGCAAACATTAAATAGCAAATTAATTGGGAATCTTGCTGACTTGGTATAACGAAACAACATCGTGGAGGCTCACATTTGTGACAACTGGAAATTCTATAATAATAATAATAATTACTATTATTATTATTATTGATTTTTTTAAACCAGTAATAGGTGTGTGCTCTGCTCGAACTCCTAATGGCAAAACTTGAGAACACTACTTATTTAACACAGTCTAATATTCTATTTTTAGAACCATTTGACATTTAGCAAGAGCTTGAAATTAATAAAATTTCTTTCAACCAAAGAAGTAATTATCAAAAGATGACAATCATGCAGGGCTAGGATAATAAAGAATTACTTCTTTTCTTTACTAATTCTAAATTAATCAAGCATTATCCCATTCAGAACCTTCCAGACTCCCTCCCTAAACTTAAAGCATTTCTACACCTTGTATCTTATTGCAATTTGGTCCGTTTAGAACTCCATGACATTTTTCAGTGCCCGATGTGCTGACAAGCAGCACAGCCCTGTGAGAAAGAAAATCACACAGCACCCTCTAGTGTCCACTTTTTATTTATTTTTTGCACAAACCCCAAATGTATATCAAATCACACCAATCAAATTATGATTCCCACCCCCACCCCAGAACATTATCAGAATATAGCTTTAGAAAACACTTCAAATGCCAAGGACATTTTCTGGAGAACAGTAAGAGATTTATTTTTATGCCCACAGTAAGCCTTATTCCAGGAAAATACCAGCCTTTGTCTTCACATGCAAATTTTGCCCTTAATATCTGTTTCTCTAACATGATGACAAAAATAGCCGCTGAGAAAAATTAAATATCTCTTTAGAACATTGAGAAATAAACAATCTGATCAAGAAAAAAACCATGAAATATTTAGTGGCCTTTTCTCCCTCAGCAGAATGTGAAATACTTTCCTATGCATCTACAGCACTAGAGCAATAACTCTGCTCTGACTAATGGAAGACTGTGTTTGTGATGGTTTAATTATGTTTGCTGAAATACGACTCTCCTCTAAGACAACATCTCCATGGCAGAGGGACAGATCTCAGTGTCTATAGATAGAAATAAAATACAAAAGACTCATTGTTCCATGAAGAACTCGGCAATCAAATTCTATTTGCTAAAGAAACAAATGGAGGAGGAAGCTTCACACAGTGTTTGTTGTGTTTCTGTTTGCACATAGCCTCTAGGTTAGCTATTCTTTTATTCCTTAGCATAACAGACTGGTTGTGAAATATTTTCGAAAATAAAATGTTCTCCCATTAGATGAAATGACAATACTTTACACTAGTGTAGCATCTCCCATAACTAGTGCTTTCCCACCTGTATTTAATACTGCTCAGTCTTGAATCAGACTGCATTTTGGCAGGGAGATTAGGGAAGTGTTAATCAGAAGTTATACTGTACATGGCATAAAGTACTAACTAAAGAAAAAAATGCAAGCCCACATATGTATAGACACTGATGTAAATTTACTTAGTCATTTTCAGTTTCTAATGAGACATATTAGAATGATAATAGCCTTTGAAGAATCAAGAACCAAGGAAACAGTATTCTGGATTTTCTCCCCTTCATTCTTATATTATCTTTATGGAATACTTAGCATGCAGAAATCCATGGATACTGCCCTATTTTAATTGGGTAAACATAAATTATTTTACCCAAGAAGATAACATATTTAATTGTCCTGTGGCTTTCACATCTTTACATTGGGTCTATCCAGAATTAGTAGAAAGTTTGTTTACTTATTGAAAGACTGTACTCAGGCTGCAGACATAGCTCTGTGACAGAGCACTTGTTTAGCATGCAGAGGCCCTGGGTTCAATCCCAGCATTGCAAAAACAAACAAACAAGCACTATGCTTACTCATAAATATGCTACTACATTTACTTGTTAACCCAAGGCACAGAACGCATGATTCCTAGTATTTTCCTCTTTCCTGACACAAATGCTAATTGTGTAGTCAGCTGGCCCTTAAAGGTCATTCACGTAACTACATAGAATTGGAATCCAAAAGTCAAGTATGTCCATTCATTTTCTAATCAGTCTTTACACTGATGACTAGAAAATACTGCTGAGGAATAGCAACATCTGACTAGCACAGGGAGTCTGCCCTCCTGAAGACTCACAATCAGAAAGCAATTTGGCAAATGAATTTGACAAGGGGAAAATGATTCAACATATAATGTGAAAGTGTCCAGGTGTCATATCAGAATATTCACAGCATAAAATGAGAAAAAGAGCTGCAAATAGCACAGAACACAATTTTTGCCCTTAAACCTCAGATTCTAAATGCTTACTTTGAACATTCAAGCAAGAAGAGTAGTGGAAGTATTCTGAATGTTGTTAATTCAAGATTAGCAGAAGTGTCATGAACCTAGAGATGCTTGGCCCCTCTAGATTTTATTCACGCCTAGGTTAACATACTTTAATTGTGTTTTTAATGAGGTTCTTTTCAGAGACAGTTGTTTTCAGTAGTCAACTTTAAGAGGAGCCAACAGTAGATGAGAAACCCTCCAGACCACAACAAAGGATCTACCCAATGATTGCAACCAGTTTAAATGTATGTTATTTAGACAAATTGTCCAAAGCCACAGCTGGCTAAATCACATGGTAACATGTCTCCATCATACAACTTTACATATTTTTTATTTCACATAGTCACAACGCACAAGAACTTTGTTGTATTTCTAGAAATTATATTCTTAAAAACATAAATCCAACAAAAATCCACTTACATAGGTTTTTCACCTTCAGTGAATCACCTTCTGATAGATGATTTCTTTTAAATGTCACCCACAAAACATGAACTTGAGTCATTGACTACTGGCAGTCTTGCTCTTATGATTTTATTTGTATAAACAACTGAAAATGAAAGCCTTTCGATGAACTTCTACATTATTGATTCTAATCCTATTGTGAGTCTTTCTTCT